GGGCTCAAATCTATATCATCTTAAATGTTAATATTAATCAGAATTTTTCATTATTTTTCCGAAGATTATAATTATTTTCAAAAAATTCTAACTTTTGAATTTTTATTGAAAATGGTTTCTTCAATTAAAAATATTGTTTTTAAATGTAAATATAACGAAACGTTAAAAATATAAAAAAATAAACGTTCAGAAATATCGACGCTTAATAATTCATATTAATATTGTCCCCTATTTGAAGAATACTGGATGAATTATTCTGTATTCAAACGTGAAAAATACATGCAATGAATACAAATTTTGAAAATTTTAACCCTAGTCTGGGCACCCTACGTGACCCAGCGACTTGGTCACCTCCGCAGGGATTCGCCGCCGAGTTATTTAGGCGCCAGCGTTGTCGAATTCACTCTACACTGCCCGGGCGCGTTTAGCGAGTTTTCGGCAACGTCGCGTAACGGGCGATTTCATTTAGAATGGGAAGGAAGAATTCATCTGTTGGAAATAATTTTTTTTTTAGAAATTTCGAGAATTATGTTATTCTGAAGCTATCATGACTTTTTAGACACAGCAAATAAAAAAGTAAATTTGTTCTTCATTTTTTCTGATTGGCTAGTCAATGGAATTGAAAGAAAAACGTCGCGCTGCGGTGTTCATACCGCATGAACTGACCAATCTAGAGTGAAGATTATCCCCTTCCCCTTCCCCCACCACCACAAGGGAAGGCATATAAGGACTACCCCTAGACATCGGAGCTCAGAATCGGAGCTCATAGCCCTGAAGATGCAGACTGCAATGTTTGCGAAACGTCGGCGCAACGCTGAATCCAAACGCGGCATCCATCCGGAAGCCAAAGATTTCATTAATCATGGCCGCGAAAGCCTCAAAACTAAGTGAAGATTATCATTGATAAAAATTCCCAACTTCAATCAGTGGACACGCAATTAAAAATAAAAAAAATGCCCAACTTCCAATAAAAAACGACCAGTTAAAGACAAGTGCTTTTCCATCAAACGAACAACAAAACCCGAAAAGAAGATAAAAACCTGAAAAAGGTTTTCAGTGTTAAAGCGGTGACAACTTTCCCCGCAGAGCGTCCTCCCGCGGCATCGCAAAACAGAATTGCGCGACAAGAAGGGGAGGAATCTCCAAAAGGCTCTGAGTACCAAACACAAAGTGAACAGAAGGTCTGAAAAAAAAGCAAAACACCAAACAAAGGGTCGGGGAATTGATTAATGGCTGGTGCGCCAATGCGGTTTAGTGAATGTGAAAGAAAAAAGCAGAAAGGCCACTCGACAGTTCGTCGTAACAAGAGATCATCAACGAGTACATTCCCAATTGTATTGAGGATGAAAATCAATTGTCATTGAGACTGATCAAATTCGATGAAGGGAGAAAAGCGGAAAGGGGATGAAACAAAATGCCATGCTCGTTTGGAGCAGCAAAGCAAACAACCTTCACATTCACCCGGTTTTCAAAATTCAGGTCATATTTACCTGAATTTTCCTCACTTCTATTAATTTTGATGGAATAATTTAATTGAAATTTGTACTTTCCGTTGAACGATGAGATATGTCAAACGTTGCATTAAATTGCATTATCGGATCATAGAGTACGTTATCAGACATCGTTATGCTTCTTGTACTTTCCGTTAATTTTTTTTTCAAATTGGGAATTTTTAATGATAAAATTTTCGGTGAAATTTCAGTGGAACTGTCTTAAAATTTAACGAGTAATGTTAATTGAAAATATTCGAAATTGTTAATTAAAAATATAGAAATCAGAAAAGCCATTCGAATAGTGCATCGCAACGAAAAATAATCAACGAGTGCGTTCCCAATTGTATTGAGGACGAAAATCAACTGCCATTGAGACCGATCAAATTCGATGATGGGAGAAAAGTGAAAAAGGGATGAAAAAAAATCCCATCCGCGTTTGGAGCAGCAAAAGGATTGACATTGATCACCCGGTTTTCAAAATTGAAGTAATACTTACCCGAATTTTCCCGACATCCACTCATTTTCTTGGACTAATTTAACTGAAATTTATGCTTTCTATTTATTAGCTCATCAAATTGTCAATTTTTTATAACTAAATTTTCCTTAAAATTTTAGTGAATCTATCTTACAATTCAACAAAAATTTTGATTTAAAAATATTCATGGAAAATATTATTAATTGAAAATGTACAAATCAGAAAAACCACTCAATAGTTCATCGAAACGAAAAATGATCAACGAGTGCTTTCCCAATTGTATTGAGGACGAAAATCAATTGCCATTGAGACTGATCAAATTCGATGAAGGGAGAAAAGCGAAAAAGGGATGAAATAAAAATCCCATCCGCGTTTGGAGCAGCAAAATGGATTGACATTGATCACCCGGTTTTCAAAATTCAAGTAATACTTACCCGAATTTTCCCGACATCCACTCATTTTCTTGGACTAATTTAACTGAAATTTATGCTTTCTATTTATTAGCTCATCAAATTGTCAATTTTTAATAACGAAATTTTCCTTAAAATTTTAGTGAATCTATCTTACAATTCAACAAAAATTTTGATTTAAAAATATTCATGGAAAATATTATTAATTGAAAATGTACAAATCAGACAAACCACTCAATAGTTCATCGAAAGGAAAAATGATCAACGAGTGCTTTCCCAATTGTATTGAGGACGAAAATCAATTGCCATTGAGACTGATCAAATTCGATGAAGGGAGAAAAGCGAAAAAGGGATGAAATAAAAATCCCATCCGCGTTTGGAGCAGCAAAAGGATTGACATTGATCACCCAGTTTTCAAAATTGAAGTAATACTTACCCGAATTTTCCCGACATCCACTCATTTTCTTGGACTAATTTAACTGAAATTTATGCTTTCTATTTATTAGCTCATCAAATTGTCAATTTTTTATAACTAAATTTTCCTTAAAATTTTAGTGAATCTATCTTACAATTCAACAAAAATTTTGATTTAAAAATATTCATGGAAAATATTATTAATTGAAAATGTACAAATCAGACAAACCACTCAATAGTTCATCGAAAGGAAAAATGATCAACGAGTGCTTTCCCAATTGTATTGAGGACGAAAATCAATTGCCATTGAGACTGATCAAATTCGATGAAGGGAGAAAAGCGAAAAAGGGATGAAATAAAAATCCCATCCGCGTTTGGAGCAGCAAAATGGATTGACATTGATAACCCGGTTTTCAAAATTCAAGTAATACTTACCCGAATTTTCCCGACATCCACTCATTTTCTTGGACTAATTTAACTGAAATTTATGCTTTCTATTTATTAGCTCATCAAATTGTCAATTTTTTATAACTAAATTTTCCTTAAAATTTTAGTGAATCTATCTTACAATTCAACAAAAATTTTGATTTAAAAATATTCATGGAAAATATTATTAATTGAAAATGTACAAATCAGAAAAACCACTCAATAGTTCATCGAAACGAAAAATGATCAACGAGTGCTTTCCCAATTGTATTGAGGACGAGAATCAATAGTCATTGGACCGATTAAATTCGATGAAGGGAGAAAAGCGAAAAGGGGATGAAAAAAATCCCATCCTCGTTTGGAGCAGCAACAAGATTCACATTGACCCACCCGGTTTGTGCACTGAGGGCCCAGTAAAAAAGACGTTATATTGCGTTACTGCTCTTATAGAGGTTCCATCGTAAAAACCTTGAAGTAATATATCCAGTAGTTTGCACTCGTGAGCCTATCAAAATCCCCTGGAATTACCTTTTACTCGGTAGCCAACCCCCTGACCCCTCTGCCATGGATGTTTCCACCGTTCCGACTTTATTACCACACGTTCTCCATGACCTATCTTCTCAGGAATATGATTTTTCACTTTACGAGCGATAACGATAAATTGTCTGATGCTCGGTTTCTCCCGCGCGATTTTGTTTTACTTCTTACCTTGACGTTAGCTGTGTAACCATGGATGACAGAGCTTTGTAATGAGTCATTACTGTCGATGGGTTTTTTTCTGTAATTTTTTTATTGATCCTTGGAATGACGAGGAGGGAGGCTGATGCTGCACATTCATGAAGGAAATGTTTTAGATGGGCACTCTGCCAATTTGGAAAGATCAAGGCAATCTGAAGATGACATTTGTCAGAAGAAGAAATCTGCAGGTGACTCTATCTTTGATACAGCCGTAATTTTACGTGCAGACGTCTATGGTCATTATTTTTTAGAAAACGGTCATTATTTTTTCTCCAATATAGAGATGAATTTTCCAAAAATTCATTAAATTTCTAGAATTCTCCAAAAAATTTAAGGGGCTTCAATTGAAGGCCCGAGTTGAAAACCCGAGTTTGTAGCAAAGATGTCAGACAAGATATGAATGTTTTTTTGGGCTCAAACGAAAGAGCGGGTCGAGAAATGGCGTGCTAGGACCTCTAAAGATGGTGTTGAACCAGGGGAGACTCCTAGACCCCACTGGAAAATGTTGTCACAATTGCGCTTTTCAATTGAAAACAGACATCATCTTTAGAGAGATTTGTCATCTTTAAAGACTTCTGCACGCCATTTCTCGACACGCTCTTTCATTTGAGCCAAAAAAACATTCATGTCTTGTCTGACATCTCTGCTACAAATTCTGGTCATCAACTCTGGTTTTCAGTTGAAATTGGAATTGTTAATTTACACAATAATAGGAGTGCATTGACGATTTTTTCTTAACTCGCAAAAATCTTCAAACAATTTGCTACCGATTGGTGATAAAATTTTTTGGAAATAATGAAATAGGGGGGATAACGCCTTTTTTTTCAGGGGTGATTTTTCAAAAATTTATTTTAAAAAAAAGTACTAACTAGCAAATGTTTTTTATTAGCTCGCAATTTCCTTCAAAACTACTTCAATGAGGAAAAAAATAAAAATTTGGAATATCTATACATGAGGGGCTAATTGATCGGATCTCCTTCAAATTCCTCCCGCCACTTCACTCGCCGCGGCACCCCGTGACCACAACGTAAACCAAAATACATAACATCGCAGGAATTTAAACGTTTCTCCAGCCGGCGAGTCGCCGGAATTCATCGAATTGTTCTGCTTCATCTACGAGTGCAGTGAGATGTGATCGAAAGAATTCACTGAATCCAGTGGATGAATAAACTTTGCTCGGATTCTTTACTATTTTGTACTCGATGTCAGTGAGACGTGCAGTCTAACCTATTGAGGTCACGTGCTGTAAACATGTTGACGGATTATTTTTTAAAGTACCACGCTGATGATGTGATGACGATACTTGAGGCACCGGACGATTCGATGCATTATCCAATCTACGTTAAGTGAGTTAGAAATATTATCATTGAGGCTGCAAGGAATTTCATGAGGCTATTGCCCTTCCATCCTGATGCACCTCCAACATTTATTGCACGTCATTTAATTCCGATAGAATGCGTTCTGCAGGGAATAATCCTGCAAAGTTATACTATATTTAAATCGATTCTGATCATAATGATCCTGTTGGATATGATTAAAAAAAAACTTTTTAAGATAGCAATTGGGTTGATTCGATTAATTTCACTTTGAAACGTGTACAGGTTTAATACCTGTATGTAATAATTTATTAAAATGAAGAACAAAAGCGGCATTTACTTCAAAGAAGAAGTTTAGATAGAAAGAAAAGAATGCAAACCCAGTGGAATGCATGTTGAAGAGAAAAGCAGACATTCTCAACGATATTTCTCATTCATAATGATAGGACGTTGAATTCAGTTTAGAGCGGGGAAAATCCTGAAATTTCAAATGCTACTGACAAAGATTAAAATTCCGAATTTTTCAGAAATAAGAAGAGAATTCTCCAACTTATTTGAATTTTTGTTATTTCGTTCTGTAGATAATAATCCTTCAGAATAATATTATTCAAACTGACCCTGGTCATAATGATCCTGTAGAACATGACTATAAATTAAACTTTTTAAGTTAACAATTGGGTTGATTCGGTTAATTTCACTTTGAAACGTGCACAGGTATTAAATATAATAATTTATTAAAAGAAATAGGGACGCTGGAAATGAACATATGTGTACGTCCCCGTGAAAAGGGCCCACTTTGTCGCATCTAGTTTCCGAGATATTCACGTTTTTCTCTCCACATCTCCCATTTAAACCAATGTTAAATTGTTTTTTTGATCGTCTACACTGACGTCAGTTTTAATTCTATCGGGTTGATTTTGGGCTCAAAATGTGAGAAATCTGATCAAGATTATCGGAACATACATAACTCCAATACCGTCAAAGTGGGCCCTTTTCATGTGGACGCCCACATATGTAAATGTTTGAATGGAAGATAAGGAGAATGAAGAACAAAAGCTGCATTGACTTCAGAGAAGAAGTTTAGATAGAAAGAAAAGAATGTTCACCCAGTGGAATGCATTCTGCGGAGGAAAACAGACATTCACGATAGCGACATTGAATTCAATTTAGAGCGGAGAAAATCCTGAAATTTCAAATTTTACGGAAAATAAAATGAAACTCCTCTTTTTTCAGCAATAACAAAACAAGAACTCCCTAATTTACTCGAAAGTTCAATCAAAATATGAAAATTCAGTGCATTCATTTATATTAATTTCCCCAGAATAATTGAACTGAAATTTACCATTTCCATATGAACCCTCCGTCAAAGTGTGAACTTTCAATGACGAAATTCTTCGAAATGTCAAAGGAACTTTCACTTGATGCAAAATTTCTGTCTTTTCCTGTCTTTTTTACCAGGATTAAATAGTATACAACCCTAACACTAGAATACCACAATATTTGTAACAATTTATTTGCCACCAAAAGTCGTTTATACCCAACGATCCCATCTCTCCTAGTTTCGTCACATTATTTGGGGCTGAACCAGAAGCAGCTAACAACATCCTTCGAAAGCCGAGACTGTACTTACCCCTCTGCGACGCTTCAGCCGTAAAATGCCAGAAATTACTAGCCCAATCTCACCATAAAATCAAACAAAGAATTCATACAAGAATCACATCAACCCCCCATCGAGCAAATCACGAGAATATCGGTGAATTCGTAACCACAACTGGTATTGCAGTAAGAATATCCCAACCGAGTGTTTTAAAACTAGTGAAACGATGGTACTGCAAAAAGTGTGAGCACATCACAGCTGTCAATGTGAGTACAAAAATAAACTGGACTTTGTGGAATTCGAAACATCGTCGCAATGAGAGAGAGAGCAATTCTCCTCTTTCTGATTCTTTCAGTTGTCTTGGGAATTGCAAACATTCAAAGAGCCCAAACAATGTGAGAAGTGCTTTGCAAAGAGTCTCAGAGTTGAGAATAATGTTGATGCTGATGATTGCGTGGATTATCAAGAGGTGAAAATTCAGGAGAAGGTGCAGACTGACAGCAGTAGCTCTTACAATGAGGGGATGCAAGTGATTCTGATGAGCGATTTGGTGGATCAATGCGCCCCGGGCAATGATGTGGAAGTAAGGTAAATTCATTGGTATCATTACTTGTGATTTCAGGATTATTCGAAAATAAAGATGAAAACCACAATATTGCATCAGTAAAGGAACATAAATTTAAATTTAATCATAAATGAAAAGAGAATGTATTCACTGACTGATTTATGACCAGACGTCGTGGAGAATCGTAAATTTTACATAATGTTGAATTTTGAATAAGTCAATAGTTAAAGTATTACTCAATTTTAAATTATAAAACGAATAAAATGAATGACCAATTGAACATCCAAATTCCGAATTATGTTATGAATCACTGATTGAGTTCTGAGGATTAACCATTATTTGGCTAATCGAAAATCCCTTTTAAGAAATTTATAAATATTTGCTCAATAGTCAATTTGCAATCCCATATTTTTTATTATCCAATTCATAGGCAATTTTTTTTTAATTGAAGAGACGTATATGAAATGAAAAAAATTGAAGTGCTCGGGATTTCCTCAAAATGAGGAATGTGTTAATAATGATCGATAAAACCTAATTTAAATATTCATTGTCAATGGAAACTTTAAATTATCAATTATTTCGTAATTTTCAAATTTCAACCCAAATATAACTAATGATTGATGTCGATCCCTTCTTATGACTAGAATTCGATTACATGTAATTATGATTGCTGAACATTGGAGAGAACAACGTTAACAAAAATAAAAACCAAAGGAGGTTCAACACCTCTTGAAGTTCATTAGTTAATACAATTCGCGTTAAAACGGTTCAAGACGACGTGGCTCTCCGAGTTTTTCATGAATATCTCCGAATCTGAAGGAAATAGCGAAATTTTCGTATCGACCTTTTTCATAGCTCTCAATTCGCCCTACAAAAGAGGTTGTAACAAAAATTTTGCTATCTACATTCGCTTTCGAGATATTCATTGAGAATTAATCAATAGTAAAAATCCTCAACCGTTTGACCGCTGCGCTCCTGAGTTCATTCACAAGATATTGAATTCGTCTATTGCATTCAATTTTTTCTTCATCCTGTTCGGTCGAAGTGGACATAAACTTAGTCGTACTTGGCATGACTTAAAGTCCTGGTGTAATAGCCCCAATGCATTTGTCACTGGGAAGAATCTCTCCGGCTTTTTAAATTTTTTATTTCTACATCACTCGGAGGATCATCAGACGATCAATAATTGGACAAATCATACTAGACGCGAAATAGAATGTTTCTCACCGATGCATAATCATAATTGCATTCACTCTTTTATATTTGCTTTCAGTGGAGTCGTTATTGAACGCTGGACGCAAATAGCTGAGGGCAAGAGGCCCGAGGCAACTACGGTAATGCTTGCCAACAGTTTGTCAATATTACGAAAAGTTTTGGATTCAAATTATTCCGAGATTGAAATAACGGAAATATTCCGGAATTACTGGGAAAGATATGAAGGTAAACCACTGGAAGGGAGGAATAATATTCTAGCGTCTATTTGTCCTCAGGTGAAAAGCCCTTTAATATAGCGTTATTTAATTTCATTTAATTATAAGTCAATGGAAATATGCTTGACCAATTTAATAATGAATTTGTTATTAGCTCTTCGGTATGTACTTCGTAAAACTAGCGCTCGCTGTGGTTCTTGCGGCTGGAGTTTCCAAGCTCAATCAAACTGGTGAGTTTCGAACTTTCAAAATTTGGCTGGTCCATTCTCGTTTATGGGAGGTCAAAACAATTGTAGTTATTTATGAACTGTTTGGAAAATATTTGTAGGAGGAGATTTAGAGAGTTTATCCGAAGATATATTCACTGGGAAATTCGATGGATCAATGAAAAAGTTCTCTTGACATTTGATATTCACGAAAAACACTTGGTGAAATTTTCCATGAAGTTTAGAAACTCAATTCGCACCAGATTTTATTAATTCTCCAGGAAAATGTGGAGATCATTTTTCGTATAAAACTTTGAGAACTAAAAAAAATCGCGAATATTTTTTTAATCTGTAGAGGAGTCATAGGCTGCAGTAAAACGGATTGCTAATTTTTTTAAAATCAGAAATATGCCTCTGAAACACGGGAGTATTGAATAAATCCCATTCAAAAAAAATTCTTCATATTATTTTAATTTTAAAAAATCCATCGGAAGTTTCTGCTAGGCCCCAAAGTGACCAAATCTCTCATTATCAACATGATTTAATAAAAATTATACTCTTTCAGGTGTAAGAGTAAGGGGAGAGCCACATTTATTGATGATAGGTGACCCTGGCACTGGCAAATCCCAGATACTCAGAACTGCTGCAAGACTAGCTGTACGATCAGTTCTCACAACTGGAGTGGGAACTACTGCTGCAGGGTTGACAGCAGCTGCAGTCAAGGTGCCTCTTCAATTAAATTAATCGAAGAATAAGAGGACAAAGTGACGAAAAAAAATCATCTCTCCAATTTTCTTGTGCTTGAATGCATCAGTAATTTCCAATTCATTGATTAAATTTTTTGTCCCCAATCTAAGGACACAGATGGCTGGCATCTGGAAGGTGGTGCCCTAGTCCTGGCTGACGGTGGAGTTTGCTGTGTCGACGAATTCACAACAATGAATTCTAACGACCGTGCATCACTCCACGAAGCGATGGAGCAACAGACGATATCGATAGCCAAAGCTGGTCTAGTCAGTACTCTCAATTCACGATGTTCAGTCATAGCTGCTATAAATCCTGTCGGTGGAAAATTTGTGGAGGGAGTTGAGATGAAGACAAAGCTTGGCAATCCACTTCTATCGAGATTCGATTTGATTCTGCAACTCAGGGACAATAAAAACCTTGAGTGGGATCGTATGACTGCTGAGCATTTACTGAGAGCTGCCTGCGATGATCCTGACGACCAGGATACGAGGTAATTGATGATGAAGGCTTTTGGAAAACATTACAGAACTGGCATTTTTTTATCAATTAAAATCAATTATGAATTAGTTAAAAACAATAGAAAAACAAAAAAATTACGTTTTGGTTTTTTTTTTAAATCTCTTCAGACTGAGGACGTCATACATTACATGCATTAGCTGTAAGGAATAATAAATGAAAACGAGCAGGTTTAGAATTTTTCATGAGCCTCTCTTGTAGCTGATGAAATTTTGTACAGAAAGCTCTCCTGAGAATTCTGCTAAATTCATTACTTTCTGAGATATTCACACAAAAACGAATGCCCATTTTCTATTTGTTAGGGATTTATTGAAATTTAAATCACACCTGCATATGAATTTTCAATGTTGTGAATTTGCGAATGAATTTAAGATCAAATCGTTCGTGAAATTTCGTATTCAGCTTATAAATAAAAAAAAGCTTTTCATGTTAAAGCGATAATTGAAATTTTCGTCACAGATTAAATTTTCAAACTCACTATGATAATTTAACATTTGAATCAACAGAATTTTCAATATATTGACAGTTCAGAACGACAATTGTCGAAATTGTCAGAATTTTCTTTGAATGGTTCGTTGTTGAAAATTTAAAGATTTTTCCCCGACATTTTATCAAAATGTATTAAATTTCTGCGAGAATTCCATCAACTCAAAAAAAATCTCCTGAAGAATTTGACCACAACCTCTTATTCCGGAGATATTCCCAAAAAAAACATTATTCCCACTCTTTAAATTAATTTTCAACCCCCCTAGAACTGTAAAGAAGCCCATGGAGCTTCTGAAATCCGACAATCTGTGGGACGAAGAGAGTCTCCGTGAGTACTTTGCCTACATCCATACCCTGGAGCCCACATTAACCGAGGAAGCAGACGTAATTCTGCGAGCAACCTTTCTCCACCATCGAAAGAACCCAAACAGAAGGGAAGAGAGAACGACAGTGCGACTCCTGGAGAGTCTCATCAGGTGTGAAAACAAACGATTCTCATGATTAATCGTACAACTTTATTATATCGATAAATTAATAAGACTTCACTTCGATATTTAAGACTGGCGGAGGGTCATGCAAGATTAATGTACAAGAAGGAAGTCGATATTATGGACGCAATAGTTGCAGCTCAACTTGTTGGTACAATTCCCACGTACAATGACGCTGGCTGTCCATTCCCCAAGGATCCAATGGCCGTATTTAATCAAGAAAGTTAGAACTCTGACATTTTCCCCACTAAACAACTCGCATGCCCATTCAATTGGTTTCTTCACTCTTTTTTTTTCATTTTTTTCAGCAACAGAACTATTGGAATTACTCGGTTTGGAGCACCTGCTGGGCTCCTCGTCAGACAATCAACAGTAATTAATATTCACTCTCATCAAGAATTCATCATCCCTCACCATATCAACAGCAGGTCCTCAATTAACATTCCATTCACCCCTGACACGAATTTTTCAATTTTTCCAATCATCAAATATCCTCACTTCCATTAAATTATTCATTAAAATGATTTATTCATCTAACGTAATGAAAAGTCCCAGCGGCCTAACGCACTAAACATAAATTCTCACATAATTTTAATAACGACATCCTTGTAAAAATTAAATTGTTTATTGTTGCTGTACTATAATCAAACATTATATGAATACGAATTCACGTGGGACTCCGTAACTCCGCACCCCCTCACATTTCCCTAGAGACTATATAAAAATAACGATACATACTCGTGTCCGAATAACTCGTCTATCATCATTTTGTCATTTCAATGATTTTTACATTTGTTTGACCCATAGAACTTCGTTAGCGAACAGTGCACTGTTAAATGATCTATTCTTCCAATGATGAAGACACTATAGAAAATAAAGCAAACGCAGTCGTTTATTCCTCGAATAATTTTGAATTGTGACCGACTAGTTTTAAATCAGAAAAGAAAAACAAATTTTAATTAATTAAATACTCGACGTCGTTAATTCAACAGAGTTCATTAACAATTAAAAAAATCGTCAGAATGACTGTGCATATAATACGATAGCATACGTATAATTACACTCAATGTAGTCATTATCACCAGAAATAACTGTAAAAAGTCTTCACAGCAAATCCTCAATCCACCAATGATGATATACAGATTAATACTCACAAGTTTCGTGGAAACAATAACGATAAACCTCGAAAGAGTCAGTAAAGCAATAAACGAGACACTGATTGAATATTAATGTTATCAATTTGCACGTGCGTTCCCCCCTTTGTATCAAATTGATTGTTTTTGTTCATTCTTTTATGAATAAATAAGAGAGCCCAGAGCTCTGTGATAAATTTGATCCCCTCTGGGTCGACAAAGAGACGTAAATCGCATTCAGCTGTTAGTATGCATACATCAGAGCTTCAGGGGAGAATAATTCTACTCGTCGAGCTGAACTATGGTGGGTGAGACGCAGTATCTACATCGGTTTTTTTGTTCTTTATTTTAGTTATTGATTTTTTTTTCTTCAATGGACTCACAAAGTGTTCATGTTCAGTAACGCGGCTGGGTGGCGTTTGTCATTTGGGCACGAACAGCACTAGCTGCTACGTTACCAGCTGCACTCTGAACATGCTCGTTTCTCAGGAAAGTCGTGGTAAACTCTTGCTGGGCTTTCGACATACTTGCTGGGGAGGAGCGATACATTCGGTGAATCTGAAAATATAATGTGGGTGATTAATGTCAATTGTTAATGACTGAGTTGCATGCGAGTGAAATTACGAGCAAAATCATAGATTAGAAATATTTGCTGGGGTTGAGAATAAGGAATTGCATCCGAGTCAATTCTTTTGTTCTATTTAAGGGGAGACTACTATGAGCGTTTCAAGCCGCGGGCCATTGGAGTGAGATTTAATGCGTTGAAGATCGATTATATGTATCTAAAAACGAGTAATTAGTGCAAAAAAATTAATTGTTTATTGTTCGTTTGCCCTGTAGATATTTAAAATGTTAAAAATAGTTCAGGGCCTCCAATTTTCGTGCTACACAGGTTTTTTTTTTTTAATTTTTGACAAAATGTGTACAATAACAATTACGAATTAGTTTTTAGAAATTCGAGTCCTACACAGCTAATTTTATTTTGTTTAATATAAAAATTTACACCATTCATGTAAAATAGGCAGAAAAAGTATCCTTGAAATATTCGAAATATATTCTCGATTCTTTCCGAAACATTTTTCCGGCTATTTTACATGAATGATGCAATTTTTTATTCGAAAAATAACGAAATTAGCTGCGTAGGGGATGAATTTCGAAAAACTAATTCGTAATTGTTATTGCACTCATATTTCAAAAGTTTTGAAAAAAAAAACCCTTCGATGTATGAGAAATCTCATTCTAATAGCCCGAGGCTTTTAAAACTCATAGCAGTCTCCTCTTCATGTTGAATGCTCTTGTATTATCACGTTATGGTCAAATTAGGTTTTATCAACCATTGTTAAGACATTCCTCAATTTGAGGAAACGAGAGGACGAACGACCGCAATGCGCAGCCACATTTCACTCCCCCCCCCCCCCCCCCCCCCCCCCC